ACTGTAAAGCCGGTTTCTTTTTTGAAGAGTTCTTCGGCTTGCACCATTCGATCAGGCTGAGCAGAGTATATTGGGACTTCTGGGTAGAGGTTGGCTAAAAGAAAGGCGAACTGATATACATCACTGGTTAGCTTAGGCACTTCTTTGTTGGAGCTCATCCAACTAATTATAATCATATCAGTCCTTGTTGTGTTGCTTTCAATAACCTCTTTCAGTATTTTCCGTTTTTGTAGAAGTTTGAAATTTCGATGTCCCACGACCCGGATGGTGGTGCGTGATCCAACATCACGTTCAAAGCCTACAACAGGTGCAACGTTCATTCGTATTACGCACTGCTGTTGGTCAATTTCCCTTCCAGCGTTCGATTTAATGAGATGACCAGAACTTGCCACAATTGCACATTCTTTGCACGATAGACGTAGAGGCTAAATTTGACAGAAAATAAGTTTTCAATTACTGCACTGTTTCAATATATTATTGAAATCTAAAATGTTACATTCTTCTTTTTCCTTCCCGAAAATCTTCTCCAAACACTCATAAGCTACTGCCGTGCTTGAATATTATTCGCTAAATTTTTTCCCCTAGCTTGACCCATTTGCAAGCACTTCTCCCTAATAAAATAGACCCAAAAAAGTAATTCCCATTTTGCAAATTTAAAACATACCAATAGTTAATACATTGTCACGACTTGAAATGATAAAAGTATATTACATAACACATTTGTATATTTTTCCTTGAAACTCATTAATAATCCATGTACAACATGCACTGATAATACAATTTTTAATTGCCATGTGTTGTGTAAATCTTTTCCTTATATTTTGCCTGATAGGTCTGACTGTACTGTGGGTGATGCCCTTAAAGTGCTTGAACTTAAAATGCGTAAAATAAAAATAAGTTTAAACTTCGAATAATTTAAATATTAGATTAATGTTAGTTATTATTTTTGGTATCATATCTTGGTTTTGGCTTGATGTAATTATTAATGAGATGAGATAGATGCAGCAAAAATTAGGCATATTCTCTTTATAAACCACGAAATACTTGCAACAGGGCTGAGAGATTTCGTCTTCACAGCACGTCAACGTGCAAACTGGGGGTATTTAAGCATGGGCGGACGAGAATGGTCAGCGTGTGGCTCAAACTTCTGACCAAAGGTTCAGAACCTGAATGGGAATCGCTGTGCCGTATTTCCCACCCCTACCCAAAAATAATACTTGCTGTATGGCTAGTTGAATTGTAGCAGAAACTGGAAAAAAATTATATGTTTCACTTTTGTTTGTGCTTACCACAAGAGACTAAATGTTAGATGCATAATCATACATTTTTAATACTTTGCATACTAGTCCAGCAAACTTTGGTTGGTTGCATTTTTTTTTTGCTATATTTTTAAAAATTGGATATGATGTAGAGTAGACATAGATAAATTAAAAAAGTATGTGCAACATTTTTTTTTCATACGTAAGGGGGGGGGGGTTGCCAGCCGTTTCAAAATGGCCGCCATTTTTTCCTAAAATTGTCACTAATATTGTAAATTTATATCATTAAAATGCAGTATTCAATTGGAAATCCACTCATAACAATGACAGCAACAGTTAACTAAATATTGTACACATTTTTGAGCTATTTAAAATGGCTGCCATTTTCCATTACTTTAGCTTTTTAGCATACATATTAATATAATAATAACCGACCTGTACAAAAACTGTGATAGAGCTAGTTATATGCAATTGCCATATGCTGTTATTATCATTACCATAATATATATATATGATATATAT